CCATCGTCTTGGGTGTGGAGGGCGGCTACGGCTAAGATTGCTGCGACGAGGAGTGAGGATGATTCCCTGGCTGATGAGAGAGTATCGTGGACGAGGGCGACACCGCCCCAGAGATAAGCGTTGAGGGTGCCTTGGAAAACAGCAAAGAGACTTTGCGCCTCTGCAAGAGTGATTCGTCCTTGAGAGATGAAGTCCGGTTGGCGATGGCGGTCCAGGGCAGCTCTACCATCGCGACTGGGATCGCTTCTGATGTTGCGTAGCTTCGTCGCTCGAAAGAGACTCACCATAGGGGCATCAACAATGGCACCATCGTCTTTAGATGCGCTATGGGTATCGGGCGAGTTCTCTCTCGTCATGGCAGTCAAATGAGGCGTTGGAGCTGAGAGACGGGAGATTGTCTCGGGGGAGGTGGTCGCGAGGGCCATTTGTTGTTGAGTCGATTGGAGGTTGTCGAGTTTCGCTTTCATGTCTACCATGGACGCACGCATGGACTCCATCTGTTGCTCCATAGCCTTTTTCCAGTCATATTCGCCCTCTAACAGATCTTGTAGATTCTTGTTCACGACGCATTCAAAGCCATTCTTGGTGCAGCGTATGCACTTTGGGGCGCCTTCGTCTGTAACGCAGCGAATCTTGCGCATATGGCATTGCTGGCCTATTGGCTCTCAGTTAAGCTCACTATCCCTATGACTGTGGAGTCGGCTTACAGGCTCGTATCTTTCTCGAGACTTTGGATCCGCGAATAGCAGAGTCCGAAGCCTCCCCCGGCCCGTACTCATCCGCTTCCAGGCCAGTGCGGGTTCGTTTCATAGTAGCTGTGTTCTCCACGGGGAACTTGCAAGTGTCTGGGGCGGCTGACAATCCGGGTGAAGATGGCTCGGTATGAATACCGCGGTGCTGGGGCAGTATGTATATCACGGGGCGAGGTTAGTCGAGGACGGCTGGATGACCGCGCTGGATCTGAGAATGGACCAATGAGTTGACGGAGGGGGTGCGGACTTCGTGCCGCTTTCGCCGCCCGGGGAGAGCCGATCTAACCTTGTTGGGACAGAATTGCTTGCTCTTAGTTATCTGTCAACGTACGGCAATTGCAGGACTTGATTATGCTGAGAGGGACGGCAAATGCTGGGGAGAGGCACCGAGGCGGCCCGACGATTTATAAGGACGATGCCGTTGCTCGTGCTGTTGTGATTCGAGGTATCTCTATACGACAGCACAACCATCAACCATGCCATCTCATTTATCCATTGGTTTTATAGGATTTAGCCCAGAAAAGGCTAAAATTGCAGAGTCTGTGCAATTACAATACGACTCAATCAGATTTTACGATGCTTCATTGGATAGTGCTCAGCTCATCGGATCTGAGCGAGTACAGCGATCAGACTCGGTCCATCATGTTGCCCATCACACCCAGGTTGTCTGGATTGAGGAGAAAGACGCCGAAGCTTTGAGTGAGATGCTACTAGGATCATCCTCTAGTCTTATACACTGTATGTAAAGACAAGACTCATTACAAGGCACGACTCGCTGACCAGCTTGAAGCATTGCCCAAAGATGCGTCACTTATGCTCGAATGCCTCGCTCTCCCAGATTACTACCAAGATCTAGCCTCTCGTTTCACTGAAGCCGGTCGGCCTGACATCAAAATTCTTGACTGCTCTGTCGTCGCTTCAAGGAGTAGAACCAAGAGCTCCATCTGGATCTCAGGCTCAGAAGCCGCCCTCGAAAGCGTATCTTTCCTATCAAAGGCTCATGACAACGTCAATGTCATTTCTGGTGGTCTTGGAGCAGCGAATAAATTGCGCTTGACAAGCCATTTATTGGAGGCGACGCATGCTGTCACTGCTGCTGAGGCTACTGGCCTAGCGTCCAAAGCAGGGATCGATGAGAATGAGATATACAGCATCATCATCAACGCTGCAGGTAATTCTTCGGCGTATGAGGAGCTTGTACCTCATATGCTACAGGGAGATTCAAATTTGAAGCCGTCGATTGAATCGCTGTTAAACAAAATTGTAAGTTGCTGAGAGATTCTGGTATTCTACACACACGCCGTCACTTGTTCCAACAGGATGTGCAGTTCGCTTACACAGATCTAGAACATTGTTACGTCTTCATCCAAAAGTCTCAACTTTCCTTTGCCACTGTGCTCTGCTAGCGAACAGGTTTGTCTGCTCGCCTCCGCCCAAGGATATGGCATAGAACACGTCTCCAGCCTAGTCAAACTGTTCAAATCGCAACACCAGAAGGCTACGCCTGTTGACGCAGTTAGCAATTATGCAAGCAAGCCTTCAACCGATGTTACTCCACCAAAGACACCGCCATCCGTGGCAACGATTGGCATGGTTGGTCTAGGAGCAATGGGCCAAGGGATGGCGCAGTCCCTCGTACGCGCCGGCTTCTCTGTACAAGGCTATGATGTTTGGGCACCCTCAGTCGAGAAGTTTGCAGCCAGTGGCCCGAGTGGGATGTCTATCGCAGCGTCTTCACCAGCCGATGCAGCCAAGGGTACAGCTGCGCTTATCCTCATGGTCCAGAATGCTGTGCAGGCGTGGGATGTGCTGTTTGGCGCTGGCAAGGCTGCTGAGGAGCTGTCTGATGGAACGACTGTGATACTCAGCTCAACAGTTCCACCTTCTGAAGCACGTCGCATTGGCGACAAGTTAGGGTCTCTAGGTAGGGGTCTTGACCTCGTGGATGCGCCCGTCAGTGGAGGTGTTGCTCGTGCAGCAAAGGGTGATCTTACGGTACGCAGCGCCCGTTACTAACTCAATATTAAGCAATGAGTACTAACTTGTTATAGATGATTTGCTCAGGAACAGGCTCAGCACTCGCATCCGTTCGCGGCATCATTCTCGCCATGGCCGGCAAATATTCCAACATCTACAACGTCAAAGGCGGAGTCGGCGCAGCATCCTCAGCCAAGCTCATCAACCAACTTCTCGCAGGAGTCCACATCGCAACAGCAGCAGAGGCACTCGCATTCGCGTCCCGCCTTGGCCTCGATACGCGGCAAGTATACGACATCTTTAATGAGTCTACCGCCTGGAGCTGGATGTTTCAGAACCGGGCTATGCAGATGCTCGATGCCGATTGGACTCCTCACTCGGCTTTGGCCATCTTTGTCAAGGATCTTGGTATTGTTCTGAATGAAGCAAAGAGGCTGGCTAGTTATACGCCCATGTCTGCGGTGGCTCATACTCTCTATATCGATGGGGCTGCTCGTGGGTGGGCTAGAGAGTCGGATGCGGGCGTGGTAAGACTCTGGGAGGCTGCTGGGTCGGATGTAAGCAAGAGTGCATCTACAAAGGTATCATCTCCTACTTCGTATGAAGACTCCGTTAAACCGTTACCTGCAAAGGCTACGCTGGCTGCCCTCGCGGCTGAGTACACCACCGATTTGATTGAATCAACAAAGGCTCGCGTTGATAGTGGTGTCATGCCTGTCCTCGTCGCTCTTGACGATGACCCCACAGGAACTCAGACTTGCAACAACATCGATGTCCTAGCCGTCTGGGATATTGGCACTCTGAAGGAGCAATTCGCAACGGACTGCCGTGGTTTCTTCATACTGACAAACAGCAGAGCTCTCCCACCCACAGAAGCAAAGGAGCTTATTGTCGAGATCACAACAAACGTGAAAAAAGCCGCTGAAGAATGCGGCAAGGCCTTCGAGATAGTCTTGCGTGGCGACTCAACGCTGCGCGGTCATTTGCCCGAGGAACCCGAAGCGGTTGAGAAGGTGCTCGGTAAATCCGACGGCTGGGTCTTTGCTCCTTTCTTCCGTCAGGGGGGCAGGTTCACCATTGACGATGTTCATTACGTGCAAGAAGATGACGTGCTGGTCCCTGCGGCACAGACTTCATTCGCAAAGGATGCAACGTTCGGGTACAAGAACTCCAACCTTCGGCAATACATCCTCGAGAAATGCGGATCGCTATTCACAGCATCATCGTTCACGTCCATAACCTTGGAGGATTTGCGCTGCGGCGGTCCAGCCAAGGTTGAAAAGAAGCTTCTGAGCGGAGAGCGTGGTGCCAACCGTGTCATTATTGTCAATGCTGTTGCGGATTCGGATATGAACGTTTTCGTTGCTGGCCTCTTGGCTGCTGAGGCAAAGGGATACCGCTTCATCTACCGCACAGCAGCTGCCTTTGTATCATCGAGGCTCGGAATAACGGAAATCCCACCTAAAACATGGGCTGAAGTTTCGCTCAAGACTGATGATGACGCTCCAAGGACAGGCGGTCTCATTCTGGCTGGCTCATACGTACCCAAAACAACAGCACAGCTCAAGGCCTTGCGTGAGCGCAGGGGGACTAATCTTGAAGTGATTGAGCTTGATGTAGCTCAGCTGATCCAGTCTGAAGCACAGGAGCAGAAGATGGTAGACCATGCTATCTCTGAGACTACCAGGCTCATCAGCGCTGGGAGAGATGTCTTGGTCATGACTTCACGGACGTTGATCAAAACCGACGAAGCTATCTCTTCGCTGAAGATCGGTTCCAAGGTAGCTGCTGCACTTGTCCGCCTCCTCGTCAACATTCAGGTGCGGCCACGATATATCATTGCCAAGGGGGGGATTACGTCCTCAGACGCAGCCACCAAAGGTCTGAAGATGAGGAGAGCTCTGATCGTGGGTCAGGCTGCCCCGGGCGTGCCTCTCTGGAGATGCGATGAGGAGACAAGCCGGCATCGGTTTGTGCCTTTTGTTGTCTTCCCGGGTAACGTTGGTACCGAGACAACCCTCGCTGAGATTGTTGAACAGTGGGCACTTTAAAATACCTATAGTTACTTGGATTGGCATTGGTGAGGAACAGAGGCACAGAATATCGTTACTGGACGAGCGCATTGGCTAAAGAAGAGCCCGTAATTTGTATGGTAACATAGAAAGTCATGAAGTACATTATTTCAAGATCTAAGTTTCTCCAATTTGTCCCTGTGATTCATGGCATCTTAAATAAACAGTATCCAATCCATCGTTCAGACTTTGATCCAACCTAAGCCTGCCACTTGACACGCTTATCCCTAAACAAAGTAACCATAGCAATAGGCAACAGCTCCGTGTTCACAATGTTCAGCCTTCCAAACCTCTCAACAATCTCATGTCCATAGAACGTAGCAACCCACGTCCAATACGCATCCATGTTATTCCACCATCCAGTGATACCCTGCAGATTCGACTCTCCACGTAACTGCTCCATCGCAGCTGATATCCTTCCATCATCGGTCTCAACCTTGCTCTCGGTAGGCCTCTTCATGAGCGTGCGGAAGATGCGGTGCAGTCTGTTGGTGGCTGTGAAATGCTCGAAGAAGAAAGCTTCGCGGTAGCGGATGAATTCTTCAAAGGGCATGAAGGTGTCTTGATCTTGTTGGCTTTCTGGGACCCAGTCTGGTTCGTCAAGAGCGTATCGTTCATGGCGAGTTTTGCCGCTCAGGAACTTTTTCTTGTAACCTTCGTATGCGTGACGCTCATCTTCTTGGAAGTCGATCATAGGCTGGGACGGGTTCTTGGAGACTTCATCATGAATCTGCATGAGGGAAATGAACGGGGACTGCAGGTCAAGTCCTCCAAGTTCCATAGGGAAGTAGAGGTAGCCATCAGGAATATTCTTGATGCCGAATCTCTGACTGATTTCCTGTTTCAAGAACTCCACCACGTTCGTGACTTGCCCATCTGAGAGCTTTTTGAATACCTGCTCTTCAATCTTCTTGTGAGTTGAAAGCATGTTGTCGATGTGTTCGCGACCAAAGCAGTTCGCTGCTTTACCGAAGTTGGAGGTAAAAAAGGTCGCAGCATATGTGTTCCAGGCTTGGATGAAGCCAAGAATACTTTTGCGCTTGTCAAGTAGCTGTTTGTGAAGTTCGTTGATATGAGAGTCGACCATTTTCTGATCAATCTCGAACCGGCCTGTCTTGGGTGACAAGCGAAGGAATCCCCAACGAATCTCACCTTCTGGCAGTGAATCATCGATGGGAAGGATCGAATTGCTATCTTTGGAGATGCGGACCGTGCCTGTCTTGGTAGAATTGACACTAACACCGGTGACGATGGTGAACTCATCAACAGTGTCCCAGGCCTTCACAGCGACCTTGTGATCAGGCGACCAGAACCAAAAGTTGTCATGCATTCTCCACAAGTTGTTAGAGGTAGCCTGGTTGACAGCAAAGTCAAGGCAAAACAGGGTCGTGTCGCCAAAGACATCACTCAAAACATGAGCTGCTGGAGTACCACGACGTCTCTTGCGTGCAGACGAGTCGTCATCGTCGACAAACTTGAGAGGCGCCTCAAGGAACTTCTTGAAGAACCCAAGCCACGTATCGGAGACACCAAGGAACTTGAGGATCGTGAAGACAGTGTCATGAGGAAGCTTGGGGTTCCAGTCATCAAAAACTGAGTGGAATGCCGTCAGCTCGCCATAAAGATGAGTGTTGATGGTGATCTCTGTAGACAACAAGTGAAGCAAGGTCTGCTTGAGTGCCATTGGGCTTCGAGACTTGTTGTATTCATCGTCATCGTCGCCGTCGTCTTCTTCTTCCTCTTCATCAGAATAATCAACCTCGGCAGAAAAGTTGTTTGTATTCATGATCCTGCGATGCCTCATTGCACCTCCCTGGCCCACACCCATGGTCGATGGTGCTGCCTTTCGGCATGCTTTGCTAGCAAGCTGTCTCCGAGGTGCCTGCATAGCCTGGACTACAACTTTGCGTTTCTTGGTGTCGGCGGTGAAACGTTCGTACTCAGCTTCCTCTTCACCGTCGGCAGTGCCTGTGATTTCATCCACAGAGTCCATAAGCTGTGCCATGAAATATCTCTCTTCATTGACCTTCACACGTTCACGCTGTAGGCACGGTGAGTCTGAAAGTGGGCCAAGGTAGTAGCCAAGTCGTCGCCGGTCGTCTCGAGGGATCTCCTGCCTCTCCGATTTCCAGGCTACAGAATCACGGAACCTTTTGAAGGCTGTCTTGAAAAAAACACTCCATTTGACACCAATATACTGGAGGAAGATGGCTTGGAGTAAGTCCTCATGCATATGTATGTTGAAGACTCCGCTGATCTTCTTCTCCATCGAGACTGGGACAGGAGTTTCGGAGTTCCACGTCCATGATTCGAGGGCATTGATGCGCATGTTGAGAACGTCTGCAATTTCCTTCAAGATCATATCATTGCTTTCAAAGTCCTTGAGAACTTCTCGTTTCTCATTAGAGAGGAGATCAGAGGAGTGAAGGCCGGGAATGATCCACTTGAGGGAGCCAACAGTGAACTGATTGGGTGTTGAGATGGATGCTTCATGGTCAGAGACACATCGCCGAAGGACCTTGAGACTATTAACCATGGCCTTCTTGTCCTTGTTGTTACAACCGAAAAGATGTTCGAGGTAACTGTTGAGGGCCTTGGTATCAATGTCGGCGGCTTGAAAGACGGTGTCCTCCCAGTCAATCTTGGACTGAAGTTTGGCCTGGTCGCCGACGTCCTCGAACGCCTCACCCATCTCAACATCGGCCTCTGGATCCTGCTTCTTATCGCCGGACAACCATTCGGTCACGAGCTCACCATAGAGCCAGGCATACTGATACTGAAGGGCCTGCATATCAAGCTGACGAGTAAGTGACTCCTCCCAGGCAGCCAACAGCTTCTGCGACACAGAAGGATCTGTCTTGGCCTGACCAAGGAAGCGGTCGAGGTTCTTGAGATCAATCTCCAGACGTTTGTGGCTGGTGCGACCTAAGATGACTTTGTTCTCCTTGGTGAGCTTGATAGAGAAGCACTTCTTGACGCCATCGCTCAAGATCACGAGACGCTTGACGGCATCCTTCTCTACCTTAACGGAAGAAAGAATCACCGCCTTGGCTTCCTCAAAGCGAGAGCGTCTCTTGGACAGCTCCTGAAGTTTGGTGTTGGTGATCTCTTGAAGCGTCTCTGAGAAGACACTACCGGAGGAAGCCATGGTGTAAGTGGGCTGAGGCTTAGGGGCAGTAGTCTTCTGGATGTGTGTTGATGGTCTTTTTGTTTGTCTGATTCTGGCCATTAATGATGAAGGGCCAGGTTTGGATGATAACGTGATGATGGAATGAATGTAAGAGAAAGGAGGGGACGGGGTCGAAGGAGGAGGGCAGTGTGTGGTATATATACCAGGTAGGAGGAGGATTTGGTGTCCTCAGGCCAAAAGTTGCAGGGAGCTGTGCCGTCTCGGCCGTGTAAGCCAATAGCTTTGGTGAATGATATGATATCAAGAATGAGCTCATACGATACAAAACAGAACCAAAAAGGCATATGAGTCTTACCAGCTCAACAATAGACTAGCAATGCGTTGTTGCATGTGTGTCGCCGACCACAGTAGTATCACTTGTAAGTTGTTGAAGAGATGAAGTGAAGTGAAGCCAAGGAGAAGCGAAGATGTGTTGACTGTCCCTGGCGACAGATATGATTCGTCAATTACCAGAACAAAGTGGGTCCGTATTAGGCTACAGCCTCTCGTGTTACATGATTTTCAGCTCCATAACTTGAACCCTCATATAAGTCACCAACTGATGGAAAAGGTCTTCGTACTGGCCTCACCATGAGCTGTATCAATCAATACCTTGGTGCATATCTCCAAGTTGGTGATTAACAACGGATCTTGTCCTTTTAACCATCCCAGTCGCCCTGACCGTCTAGCATGGTGTTGTGTAATAGGGCTTGCAACAGTCAGCCTCAGTCATTTCGTCGCTCTATTATGTTATCCTTGGCCATTCCGTACTCCCCAAAAACCTTACAATCCATATACAAAGAACCATCATCGTTATTCGATCATTTCGAGCTTCTCCAGAAGTTCCTCAAATGCCATCCTGCGGCTCTCTTCATCATCCCTTCTCACTTCATACACCCTTGCACAGACTTTTTGTTTCTTCTCTTCCTCGATCCAGAGAGTAACTCCGAGGTCCCTCAGAGCTTCAATGTCAGGATTCCATGTAGACGCCAAAGTCTGCTCAAAGTCCCCAATCATTGATGGCAAAATGTGGTCCCAGAATTTCAAAGAACGTTGGTGATATTCACGAGTCCCGCGAAAGAGATACATGTCTTCATTTTCTCCTTCGCGGTTTGTGGCGTCGGCATCTTTGAGCATGAATCGTTTGAATTCGACAATCACGCTATCGATAAAGGCTGCTTTGTCACTATCATCTGTCGCTGTGTAGATTCGATCGTCTAGCAACTCATCTCGGCATTCTGGCTCAGTGAAACATGTGTGTACCATATCGAGATTGGCGAAAATCGCTTGCCTCAGAACAGCTGTATGTTGATACATTGTCAATATACCCCCAAACTCTTGCGCGAATGATCGTAGCCCGTCAGTACCTGATGAATCGCTTTCCAAAAGACATCGTATACCGTGGGTAAAGGGCGTATAACCTTCAGGTGAACACTGACAAGTACAGCTATCGGTGTATTCGATGGCCAAAGGGTCACGGATAAGGTATTTCTCTAGATTCTTCCTGTTGTTGAGGATAATCTCGGCTAAAGTAAAGCTAGACCGTTCTGATCTACTGTTTTCGCAAATTACTGTCCAGAAGTTTGGGCAGTGATTATATAGCCACATCGCATACTGCGGCGATGTGCAGTGCAAGGCCTGCGATACGTCTGGACCGAACGCACCAAAAGCCTGCTTGCTTAGTGACGGGTGTGTCCAGGCGTCGTCAATATCGGTGAAGCCCCTATGCCAAAAAATGGACGCATCTCCAGGACATGTGATATCTAACCATATGGGTCTGAAGATGGGCTTTTTAGCCTCCTTGCGACCGCTGTCTGCTGGCGATTCTGTTTCCAAGGCTGTAAGTTCGGCGGTAGCTTGTTTCTGGAAAGTATTTCCAGGCTCGTTAGATCGGGCGTCGAATTCTGTTGCTGTCGAGCGTAGGTTTCCTGACCGCGAGAATGTTCTTGGAGCTAACCCTTCGAAATCTTGCTGGAGCATTCTTAGTTGTTTTGCAAGCAAAAGCTTACAATGTTGCGAGGCGCCGATGAACAAGTTGAAAGACATAATAGACGTGCCAAAAATATTCCGCTTCGAAAAATCATAGTATGGTCTGATATGGCATTTCGCTTCCAATAGTATCCTGACTGCCTCAGTGCAGGGGCAAACAGACCCGTCGGTAGTTCCACGACTATTGCAGATGTTTTTGCTTAAGTGGATTGACCGACCTAGAGGACTGATCATGCCTGATGCTGTTCGACATGTCTGAAGAAGCTGTTCTGGGGTTGCTCTTCTGACCAACAGTCGTAATATTTCCGGCTTCTCTATGGCCACAAAACAGGGAGTCTCGCCATAAAAACTTATTTCTCCTATACATTCTGGACTCCTATCGATTAGAAATTCAACCTCCCTCGCATCGTTGCGTAGAATCGCAAGGGTCAATGGTCCAAATAGTGCTGTTTGGTTTACTGTTAGCATACGTCATGATGCGATTTATTTTTACATGATACCTTCGGCGATTCTTCGACTCACGCCATCGTACTCGGTGACGTCGATACGGCCAAAATTACCGAACCTCAGTTCTGGCCGCCTGGGAGCTGGTATCTCCACATCGTCTACACACAACTGGGCAAGAATCGATGACGGAAGCACAAACTCATCAGCAGCTACATGCAGGGCGAGACTAGTTTATGTCAGTACTATAGTCTTAATAGTACAAGGCCAACATACCGGCCATCTGACCCAACGGCCGCCACTGGGGTACCTGCTGCAATGAGAAAATCGAACAAGGACTTCAGATTCGGATGTGCACGCTGCTGCTGGGTTAAGATTCGGAAGTCGCCAGAGTTCAACTGCTCTTGTTAGCTGTTACACGAGTTCACGCCACGAATTGAGAACTAACGGTTAGGGTCAAGTGATGAAGTAAGGAATAGCCCTTTGAGTTAATGTCAGTAGGCCTGGCCTTCCCGGAGCGGAAGATCACCTGAAGTTTCCGGGTAATGGACTCGAATAGGAGTCCCGGATAACTCTCCATCGCCCAGCGGGCCCCGAGACGACTCTCAACCAGCAAGTTGATGACTCTAAATGCCGGAGAATTCACTTCATCGACCATAGCAAAGTAATTGATCGAAGGACTGATACTGAGACCGCCTGCCCCGACTGTCGTACGTACTGTCAACTCGATAGCTCTTCCTATCAGTCTAGTGAGTCCAGTGAACCTCAGGGTTCTTTCTCGCGATGAATCGATGGCAGTAGTGTAAAAATCGCAGTCTTTAAAGTGTGGACAATGGGAAACAACTTCATCTTTGAAAGACAGCGGCCCCATGGGAAGTGTTTTACGTGTGCGAAGCCTTCTTGCCATACAAGAGCAGGCCGACGCAGAGGATGAAATGTGGCATAATAGACTTGGCTTTGCGACAAGCCTGCGAACAGCTTGTGCAGGATTTTGAGCATCCAAATTGAGTCTGGATAGAAGCTCAGCAGTTTGGGCGCGGCGCTGCAACGCCGCAGACTCCGCTTGTTGGAAAGATTCTCGGATCTCATCCATCTGCGTCTTGAAACTCGCTTCAATCATCAAGTTAATCTGAGGAGCCAACTCATCAACAGCGATTTGAATCGTAGGGAGCTGTGACCCAATGGTAGAAACGGGATGGCTGAGGTGAGATACTGCAGCAGCCAGCGCCGAGACCTCGAGCGCTGTATTCTTCACAACCGTAGCATTGAGAATGATGGCTTTAGAAGTCGCAGCTTGCATCTCTCTAGGAAATCGTCAGTCGAACTATCGAAGATTTCGGTGTTCACGTACAGCTGCAAGCCTTGGATGGCCAGATTGAGTGGTGTACAAATACTGCCCAAAGCATTTTCCAACTGCGATAGCTGAGCTTGTCGCAGTGGGTAGGAGAGCCTGCGATAGCTACTCTTGACTGTATCTTTGATCGTGAGGTCAGAAGCAGTGGTCGCGGAGATCTTCTGCCCAAAAGCTTTGAGGTCCTTTAAGCCGTTCTCGCAATCAGCCAAGCATCGTAAAGCTTGAGCCGCAGCCTGCGAAGTCGAAGGATTCAGCTGGCCGCTCTTTAGAAAACCATTAAGTAAGCGGAAACTGCCCTCGAGAGACTCTGCTAGACGTTTGAGCCGAACAAGAGCATTATCGTGATCTTTGAGTCCGTCCAGGTAGCTCACAAGGCCGGAACATGTCTTGAGACCGAGGGGTATGATTGCAAGCGCTAACTCGGCCATGGTATTCTCTCAACTTATGCTAAGAGCGTGTTTTGATGGAGGGAAATACTAGAGGGGAGAGATAAGCAAAGGGGAATACAACGTGTCGGGCTAAATCCAGTCGTAAGAACAGGCCGCCAGTGATATCTCACCGCGTCCAGCGCCTGCTACAGCATTCATAATCACGGACGTCGTCAGAGGCTGAAAATCGCCGTTCTATTGGCTGCTTAGTTCCTGCGGCTGAGACAAGGCAGAACAGTGCGATAGCGAAGTAACTTGGGTACAATTATCTGTGCCGCTGACCGTTACTATCATTTAATACCGCACCAGGTGCATAGACGTTCAGGTCTCCAGGAACATGTGTTATCATTCTGTTGGCCACAGCTGACACAATGCGTTTCTTTCTGCGCTGCACGCACAACCAACATGTTGTTGGTCCTTGGGTGGCAGCCGTCCACGCCAAAGCACAGGTCATGTTTCAGGTAAAATAGCGCTCGAATCACTTATTTCAGGCCACCGACCACTAAACAGAACCTCCAGCGCTTTCGCTCTTCTCACTTCCATTACCAACATGAATCATCACAATGAGAATTTCTGAAGGCTCTCCATATCCTCCGAGCGAATCTGACATTTCTGAGATCGCGTGCGATCTTGAAAAAGAAGATGCCATCAAAAAACTGTCACTTCTTCCCGATCCTCTCCCTCGCCCTCGTTGTCTGACTCCATCTGGCTTTCGAGATGTTGCAGAAGAGCCTAGACTACCGAAGCCGAAGCCGGCTTTTCAGCATTGCGCGTACTATAAGCTCCCATCCGATATCAGAAGATATATTCTGATACTGGCTTTCGGCAATCGTCGTCTCCATGTGGACTTCTCTTACGATTATCCCGACATGACCTCGGATCTCATTCAACCGTTGGATAAGAACCACTCTGGTATCGTCATGGAGAACATGCATGGCGACAAGCTACGAGTCGTCGATGATACGAAGCCAAGATCGTGGATCTGGTGGGGATCCGTCTGCCATCGACTCCCGCCAGATCTTGACATATCGCGAACAGGCCCAATGACCCATGGAGGACCTGATGGTCCTTGGGCTGATACTTGTCGCATCGGTGAAGCTCTTTACTGCGACTCTTGGCCAGGTTCATTCCCTTCAAAGTGTCGTATCGGTATAATGGGATGGCTCTTATCTTGTCGCCAAAAGTAAGCCATTCAATCTCTGTCTTGGTTCAAAAGCATCGCGATTGACAATACTGCAGTTATGCCGAAGCTATCGACATCCTTTACTCTAAAAACACCATCATCATGGCCAATGAAGCAATGATAACTCAGCTGCCTCAACTCCTGATACCACATCGCCTCGCGTCCATAACTTCACTTGAGATCAGTTGGAACTTGAAGCCTCGATACGAAAGCGGTTTTTGGAATGCCTTTGATGAGGCCGACTTGAAGGCCACATGTGGAATAATATCCACCCAGTTCCCGCAGCTCCGTCGTCTTTATTTGTCTCTCGAGCGTTCAAGGCATCTTAGGTCATGCTGGTGCTCTGATGCTTGGCCAACTATGAGCCTTCATCTGGACAACCTTGCGCGAATGATGCCGTCTCTGACAGAACACGCCATTTCGCTACCTGATACACCATTCGATTCTATCCTGTACGACGCAAAGAAAACTGACTTCGGGTCGTACTCAGAAATATGCCATTCTTATAATCAGATCTGGCGATCTACTGACGGCGGAATGGATGTCATTCAGCTTCCACATGTCGATAGTTATCCTAGAGCACCGTATCACATAGATAATTCAACCTCCAAGGGCAAGGGCTACTGGATACTCAATGGAAGCAACTGGCCAGAAAAGGAAAATGTCATCACCGGCCCTCCACCAGTGGGACTTATGGGAGAGGTCATGGGCCTTGGACCTTATGATTTCGATGACTTTGAGTATGCTTACCCTTTAGAAGACATGTGATGGTCCAGATGGCATTCTGAAACGTATTGGAGCAGAGATAGAGCGACTTCAAATTTGAAATTCGTTACAGTATACATGCGCAATGAATGTTTTGCCATCCAACACTCATCTTAAGTCAGTACCGACAGTTCAAGCTGGCATCAAGGGAAGAGCACCTAGATTTGTATCCGCTTCACGACTTTAAAGAAAATACCCTCAAAACCTTCATCTACTACTACATCTATCTTACATACCAGGGCATAATTTTCGTTTCCCCAATACCAAGTAACCATTGCACCCTGTCTAACTGACACAGAGGTATCATGCCATACGTAACTTGGTACAAACATATTTTCTTCTGCCATCACCTACGGACTTCGGTTTGATCAGGGTGAGCTTTCAAAAGTCTTTTCTGCTGCTCTTCCATCATCGGAGGCCAAGTCTACTGTAACAATAACAGTGCCAGCGCCGAATCAACATCAGAGACACGATTTCGGAAACAACGGTAGGGTGCACTGTCACTGAGATTCCCGAGTGTACAAAGACCATCTCGTATATCACTACGTCCGAATCAGTCACGATGTAAGTCTGACTTTGGCCCGATCCCCATACCATGCAGACGCTAATGCGAGTCAGTACGGAGATAGGAGAGTGCCCACCGACTCCAAACTGTGCGACCGGCGAGCAAAGCACCATGACGACGACATTGGAACCTGAATCCCATTGGGTGGGATATGCTGCAGGTCCCCAGCAAGGCCCCTCAGAAGCTGAGCCGGACGCTCCTGTCGATAAAGAGACGGAGGAGTACCTTGAGGACTTTTTCAAGAAACGCGATCTTCTCTTGGACTATGAAGCTAAAGATGCTTCGCCCGAGTGCAGCACTGCCTCCTCAGGTCTTGACCTCACATGTTTCTCTGGAGCCTGGCCATCGTTCTGCGCTCACGTCTCAGCTAGTGATAACGAAACACTGATTGAGAATGTTACCGCGAAGGCGCTGGGGTCTAGCCATAAAACAAAGCGACATAGGCACATAATATTGCCGGGAATGGACTCGAGGGTGATTAGACGCGAAAGCAAGTGTGATGGTTACTCGATAGAATTCAGTTGGGAACTAGGTTCCATTGGCGGGTGCGTACAAGATTGTCTTGGGGCCATGCCGAAGCTGGCTCTATCATGTGGCTTGACCGTTTCTCGCGCAGACGGCATCAGTGATATTGGAAGTCTTGTCGTTGGTTGCGGCATTTATAGTTACAGAGTCGTAGGGGACTACCATCATACGACTGCTGATACTACAAGTGGCGTAGCAACAGCTACTGCGACAGCAGAGTCAACTTCTTCGGAAGCAACCACTTATTCTGGCAGCACGACGTTCACCACCGACGAGGCCACTGTCACCAAAGCGGTGACTACTTCAGAAGATGTAACTTCAAGCGCAGAAGTTACCGATGCGATTCCCACAGTTGATCCTAACTACCGACCCCTGGTGCAGCAAGACCCCGAATGTCTCAAGCCAACAGATGGAGACCACGGAGCTATTGATCTAGGTATATAAGATGATTGTGCTGAGGACTTTAGCAGCCAGGAACCAGATGGAGGATGGGAGGCTGGACCGGATATCTAACATTCTTACAAGGAGACGTCTTATAGTGTTGTTTATGAGTATAAGTTGAACTGGGCCTAAGACTGTACTACTGATGGAGATACCTAGGATGTCAGATGGCCACTGGGTTAAGCTGGTGATGTTACTGCTTACTCCCTTATGAGGGGTGCTTTTGAGAAATTTAAGCCTCCATACTAGCCCGAATAAGTACCATACTAATAATGAGCTAGGCAATAACGGCGGCATTAGTGGATCGATCTAAGCAGGGTGTTTGGTCTACTCCTTTAATGGCTATGATGAGTAGATATCCATAATTAGGAGAGGCTTTGTTTTGTTTTAGTCAGAGTCTGTAGGAGCCGATAATCTTTGGAAGAAAAGGGCTGGAAACGATATTGCCTGTATGTTGTCATTCTGTGGCGAGATTTCGGAATGGACGAGGCAGCAAAATAAAACAGGCATCAGCAAAAGCGGTGATTCTCTAGGCAGCTGGCTGGTAACATGTATAAAGGACGCCTAAATCACTCTGACTACCACCGACCACTATACTTCCCTAGGCTCGGCCTTGTCCTCTACATTATGACTGTAACTGAAGTCGGATGCATGGGCGTGAAGCCCAACATAAATATCATGGACCATACCACCCCAGAAGGCAAAATCCTGACTGACGCTTGGAATACTGTAACCAGCAAGCCTGGTGGTCCACAAAGAGTTTACTGGGGCTTAGAGTCAGTTGATCCATCAAAGATCTGGTGCTTTTTCGACTTTGAGTCGGTTGAGCAACATCGACACTTTGCTGAGGAGTAAGTTTTACACATTGATTCGGAGGAAAGAAGCTCACTGGTATAGCTATGGCGCGGATGCAGTCAAAGACATTCCCAAGATCTGCACGTATGGGGAGTTTTCCAAACATATCCAGATAGTTCCCTCCTCAGATGTTCTTGGGTCTCCTCTCACTGAAATCATACTTGCGTATTTTCCCCAAGAAATCTCAGACGGAAAGAAAGAAACTCTCTCATCAAAGATCCAGGAGATTCTCAGACAAGCTTTCCCTGATGATGCTAGAGTAGCTCATGCTTGGGGCGTGGAGAACGACTTTCCCGCAAGAAGTGAAGCCGGAAAGCCCAGATCAGTTGTCATGGGTTTTATTGGACTTTCTCATCCCGAGGCTTGGGAGGATTATCGTCAGACAGATGGTTGGAAAGAGGCGCTCTCGAGTATTGAAGGGCTGGAGGGTTGTACGAATATTTATAATTTTGCGATCAGCTGCCAGCATCTGGAGAGGGTTTGAGGACTGCACACTTGTACGCCATGGAATTCGCACAAAGTGGATAGCATTGATCAGAATATCGAATAGCCATTGTAAATTTTCCATTTCAATTACGAACTTACTATCATTTCGAGAAATAATGCATATTCGGCAAAGCCGTCCTTTGGACTTTCGGTCATCTTCTCTTGATATGTTATAATCAATTTTCCAGCTCTTCCCTTCTGACATATTCAATCTTTAGAGTCACAACTCCATCAGTTCCAGCCAAAGTTCTTTCGAACTGCAGACATCTCTTCTTCTGCCCGTCTTATCTCCGTTCCCGTGTTCCACAACAGCGGATCCAAAATCCACAACTCCACACCCGAAACGCTATAACTTGCGAAAACACCACCCGAATCTTTTGTCACCACCATCAGAACACAGCCCAATCTTCATCTTTACCACGATATGACTGAGAAAGTCACCACTCCAACCGGTATTCTCGACCAAGAACACAATGCTCCGCGCAAACCTTCATTATTTCATCAGAGAAAACCCGATCCTCCAGATCAACACCGCCCGGCATGTTTCTCAAATCTCTCATCAGAACTGGGGTTCATATTTGCGGTCGCGGGTTCGATAATGATTAGCGAGTATTTTTCCTCTGGTTTCAACATCATTTTTTCTTCATTAGCGAATACTTCGCATGAGGCTAGGACGTGGCCGGCTGCTGTCATCAATCTTACTACTGCTGTTTTAATCCTTCCTTTTGCCAGACTCTCTGAGATTCACGGTGGAAGGTTGATCTTTCTGGGTGGTCATGCTTGGTCAATTGTCTGGTCCATCATTGCTGGCTTCAGTCAGAATCCTACTATGCTCATCGCTTGTCGAGCAATGCAGAGTTTAGGGCCTTCAGCTTTCTTGCCGTCTGGTGTCGTTATCATGTCACGCATTTATCGTCCTGGTCCACGAAACACTCTTATTTTCAGCATTCTTGGAGCCTTTTCTTGCATCGGTTTCTACTCTGGAATCTTCTTTGGCGCATTATCCGCTCAGGTCCTTGGCTGGAAATGGTATTTCTTCATTGGTGCATTCTTCTGTACGGGTATTTGCATCGCTGGCCTTTTGACTATTCCAAAGAGCCATGGAGATGTACGGATTGACCTTGAGATGGATTGGCTGGGTACGGTTACCGTTGTACCGGCGTTTGCATTGATGGCGTATGCATTGACTGATGGAGGAAATGCGCCCCAGGGCTATGTAGCCTTGATCTTGGGTATCATCGGTCTTGCGCTGTTTGTTCACATTGAGGGATGGAGGGTCAGTCAACCACTTGTGCCAGCAGAGGTTTTCAAGACGAAATACATGAGTCGATTGGTCGTTGCACTCTTCGTGCCCTACGGATCCTTCAGTCTGATTCTTTTCTACGCTAGCTTCTAGTAAGTCCTGGTCCATCCACCAGATACCAATCTCAACTAACATGCATGCTTCTTAGCATCGAATCAGTCCTGTATACTGGACCTTCACTTACCACCTCTTGGTTCATTCCTCTCGCAGCTGGAGGTTTCATTCTTGCTCTCGTCAGCAGCTTTGTTCTTCGTATCCTCAACGGACGACGACTCCTTATAATTCTCTGCCTTGGTCTCCTTGGCTCATCGATTCTATTTTCAGTCATTCCCGACACCGGAATGTCAAACACATTCCTCTCCTGGGCATTCATCTTCCCCGCCATGATCCTCGCGATAGTTGGATTAGACATCACCTTCAATATCACCAACTTCATCATCACAACATCCCTACCTAATCATCTTCAGGCAGTGGGAAGTTTGATGATCACCAGCCTACTCTACCTAGGCATGGCATTTTGGCTGGGTGTTGTTGAGATGGCAACATCGGCACAAAAGGAGATCAAGGGTGCCGAAAATCTTAATGCAACACGTCAATGTCAGATTGGATTCTGGATTGGTAATGGACTAGCGTTGGTTCTCGTCACGGTGAAAATGCAGTCGGCTGAGGCTGATTTGACGGCTGATGAGAAAGCACAGAGAGACTGGGAGAGGGATGTTGGGCAAAACATGGAGTAATGCGCCTGGATTTTGGCTTCTGGGTATTTGTGACTGAATCTGGAGCTACAAAAGTTGCTTCATAGATGTTTAGCGGATCAGAATACACTACATTAATAGCTGTAGAGATTATCGATTTTTGATCGCATTCCCCTGACGAGATAGTGAAGCCAAGGACTTGTATGTCTTGCGAGTACAGAGCAGAGCTGGAGACTTGGATCTAGTCCTCTTTGCTTGACTATCACAGACTTTAGAGATGCATCGTTCACTATCAGTTCTTCTGGCCATAGAAGCGCGGGTACAATTTCGATGTCTCTGTTTTCGTGGCACCATGAACGTAAGAAGAATGAGTCCTCCGAGGCTGACTTGACTAATATGAATACATCCAAGCGTTTGTCGGTCCATCTTGCGCCGCACCAGTACATGATGAAATTAAGTCTATCGTCAGTCAAACTCTAGACCAGTCTTCCGCAGTCTCGCATGATGTCCGTCCGTAGATAAGTAGGTCCTACCAGGGTTACATCTAAAGTTCTTTATCCTTAAGTTTAATTACAACTCTGAAACCCACGCACGACAGGGTCAGGCCCAGCCGCACGCGCATCCAGACCGCCCAACACCCTAAGATCACGAACCCTTCACCAAAACCCAGATCCTTGAATTTAACAGTAAAAGAAAATGACACCGCTTCTCAAACAGTCGATCCGGGTCGCGTTGCCCCCCTCGAATTTTAACGTTGGGGTTTGCGGGGGAATTACCTTCGTCCCCAGCGTCGATGGGGGCGGGGTGATCTACCGCTAAGAATGGGGAAATACAGCTCCACGGGAACTCTGAGCCGCGGATAATTTACAGTCCACGAATGAGGAGCCGTCTGCTGGGAACAAGCTTATTCAGAGGGCCAGAGCAGAGGACGATTTGTTAGCGAAAACAACACTTCCAATCTGGGGTTTGTTAACTTTTTTGACATGAGACGAGGGCCATTAAACTAAGGTAGCTAGCTACTATGCAGTTTAGACCCGCTTGAGATGCTGGGGCCTGGGGGTCATGTAATCGGGAGTACCTCCGAAATGATCCTCCAGTCTCTGTATATAAAACCTCTAAACATCCCTATGTTTCCTTTCTTCTGATCCTCAAGCAAACTCATCTTCTCCACCGTCAATTCTTCTCACAATGAAGGTCTCGAGCTTCTTCTCAACCCTCTCCCTCTTCGCTGGCGTTCTCGCCGAGGCCATTGACCTCCCTGCTGGTGTTCCTCGCAGCATTGAAGAGTTCCGCGCCAAGCATCCCTATGAACTTCCCGTCAAGAGAAGTCATCGCAAGGTCTACACTATCAGACATAGCAAGAACGACCACGATGACGTCTCTTCGGAGTTCTACAAGGGCTTGAAGAAGGCGAACAAGGGAGGTACTCTGTACCTCCCTAAGGGTCAGACTTTTGTCATTGGAAAGCCCCTTGATCTCACCTTTTTGAATGATATTCATGTTCATCTTGAGGGTGAGATTAAGTTTACCAATGATACTGAGTATTGGCAGAAGAATGCTTATAAGCATCCTTTCCAGGTATGTCATTGAAATTTCGAGATGAATGGGTTGAGACTAATGGTTATAGAACTCGATCATGTTCTGGAAGTGGGGTGGCAAGAACA